CATGGAGATCATCTGCGTCCACGACACCACGTTGGGCCACGGCATGGATTCAAACAAATATTTGGCCTGGAAGACATGCCCAATCTGGGCATAGCCGGCCAGCATGACATTCCACGTCAGCGTGTCCCAAGCCGGCATGTCGTGGAACAACCGACCAGCCCCGTCAATGTCGCCGGCGGAGACACACCCGGCCAGCATGGCATTCCACGTCGCCATGCTGGTTTCTGGCATCTCCCTGTGGATATACCTTGCGTTGCCTAGATGCCCTTTCGTGGAATATGCTGTGAGGATCGCCGTCCAGCTTACTGTGTTCCACTGTGGCATAGCATCAAACGCGCGCTTTGCGCTTGTGACGAGCCCTGTTTTGCAATACCCACCCAGCATAGTGTTGTAAGATATCAAGTTTCTATGGGGCATGGCAGCGAAGATCTTCTCGGCCTCTTTGATCTCTCCATTCCCGGCGTACGCAGCTAGCATTGCATTCCAGGCGACCAGATCCCACTCGGGCATTCCATCGAATGTGTGCTTGGATCCGCGAGAATCTCCATCGGCAGCAAATGAGGCGATCATCGACGTCCAGGTCTCAAGATCCCGGAGTGGAGCTGCGTGAAACAACGAAACAAATCTTTGTAGATCCTCACCGTGGGTGTATGCCGCGAACAGAGCATTCCAGGATGCCAGATCTCTCTCCGGCATCTCGTGGAAGATCTCCTCGGCCTTCGCGGCATGCCCCGCCCGGGCAAATGCCGCGACCATCGCGTTCCAGGCGATGGAATCCCTCTCGGGCATTTGCAAGAAGAGCTCCTCCGCATCCTCGATTCGCCCCCTCTCGGCAAGCGCGCACACCATGGCCGTCCACGACACAAGATTCTTGCAGGGCATCGACACAAACACGGCTTGCGCGCTGTCGAGATCCCCGTGCCGCGCGTAGGCGCGCATCATCAGCACCCACGAGAAGGCATCCTTGCAGGGCATAGCGTCGAAGATCGCTCGCGCCTCGCGCACGCTCCCGCAGCGCCCATACATCTCGATGATCTTGTTGGGCACGAAGGTGTTAGTGGCGGCGGCCGTGGCGAGCTCCTGGAATGCGGCGTGGAGCTCCCTGGCCCTGGAGAGATCGTTGCAGCTCTGGATCAAGCCCACGCACTGAGCTCGATCGAGCATAGGATAGCAAGCGTGCTCTGATCATGACAAAGAAAACCACGTCTTCCGAGGCATAGAAAGAAAGAAATCCCTTGATCCAATTCGATTCAAGGAGAATATAGTTATTTAGAGGAGAATGGGAGAACACACTCTTGTCATGGCCCCGTCACGGGCGGGGTCTTCGGTGAAGGCCTATACCCCTCGGCATTTCGGATAGCCACGGTAAACCGGCTCTCCACCTTCTGGATGACAATTGAGAGTAGAATCAAAATCACAACTTGAAGAGCGTATTGCCAAACCCGTTGCATTGTGTTCGTGCATGATCTTTTCTCGTGTGCATGATCAAAACATATATACCAAACAGCAGCTTGACTAAAAGTCTCGTGTCCTACAAAGTCGTGTTTCACTTTTGACTGTTCGAACGAGGTCAAACTGGAGTTCATTTAGCAGCTTCCAGGGCTCCCTTGTGACAATTTTCACGTTTTAAAGGAGCCGATGCTTACAATGCAATTTTACGGCAAAGAACGATTCAAAGAGAATAACATGTTTTGGAGATAAAAAGAACAAGAACCAACACATAAAGCATTATTGTCATGGGCTCATCTTCCTGGATCTCAACCTTCTGAATGACAAATGAAAATGCTATAATCACAACAAGAGCGTATTGCTTCCAATGTTTGCTTGCATTATTCTTTCTTGTATGATCAAAACATGTATACAAGAGTAGAACATCTTGCCTGGAAGTCTCTTGTTCTACAAATTCGTGCTTCACTTTGACTTTTCTTCTTTCAGTCATGAGGTCAAACTGGAGTAAATTCAGTGGCTTCCACCTTGTGACAGATTTCCACATATTTAAAGGAGCCCATGCTCACATTCAGACTAGAAATGGCTCCAATGGATATTTTCTGTCTTGGAATATCGCAGGGCTCCTGCTTGTGTGGATTCGATTTAGATCTCATTGAATATTCAAGGGTTGCCATTAGTTATATATGATCATATGGGTAAAAAAAAAATTCCAAAAGGGTAATTAATGATTCCTTTAGGGGCTTTCCCTATGGGGGTGTTTGTTGTAGGAGAGAATGACCAGCATTCCCCCATCTGCACACTGTTGCAAGTGCCATTAGTAGTGTTGCGACGGAAGTGTCTAGGGTGGAGTGGCAAGTCGACAGTTTGAGTTGTGAGGTAGCAGGGTAGTATAGCCACAGCTAAGGAGCAACTCAACTAGCCCAACATAGTTTTGCTATAGTTTTGTGAAGTAGAGTTAGGTGCAATGAAAGGAGTGCTGAGACAAGCAAGGCATAAGAAGTGAGCATTAAGAGAGTGCAAGCAAGTTAGTGAGTGTATATTTTTAGTATTGATGAATTAATCTTCAATTTTTTCTTTTAAGTTAAGCTATGTCAGATGACCTTGGAGTTTAAAGTGTGGAGCTCACTGCAATGTGCTAATGATTCAACCAATTGAGTGAGCTTACTCGTGAGGCTCACAAGTGGGGTAAACCTCTCCAAATGTAATAATAAACATGGTTCTTGTTCAAGATCTTGTGCATGATGATAAACTTTATGAAACTAAATTGCAAAGGGATCCATTCTTTAAAGCATGACAATAACAGCAATGCAAAAATGCTAAAGAAAAAAATCCTCCTACAATACATTCAAGTACTTGTGCTCCAATGTAACTTTGATTAGCTCTTGCAAGTGCATAGGAAACAACCAACTAACTTCAAAGTATCCCAAATGAAGAAAGTGTTTGCAAAGGTGGTGAAGGACAAAATAATAGTATATAAAGTCAAGTCATCAACACCACTCTAGGATGAGTGAAAAATGAAAAGGATAATAAAATAACAAAACATGATAGAGGTGTTAGGACTTTGGGTGGAGCTTACTTTTCTTCTCAAAAACTTGAAATTCTCTAATTTATAATTAGTTTATTTGCAATTTACAGATATATCACCCCCTTGACAACAAAAAGTATATTGCATTTAGGTGTGCTAAAGAAAATTATGCCATCTGAAGTATCTCTCTACTACACTCTACTAGCATATTTATATAATAATTTAAATAAAATATAATTTATATTAGTTTAACAAAATTTTCTTGGAAAGATGAATTTATTTACCCCATGATAAGCTTACTAGCTAAATTCTAAAAGATCTTATGGTGTCTCCAAGCTGTCCCGTGTCATACCCATGCAAAGTAAAACAACTGCTATATGCAAAGGATCCAGAAAGGTATAATCAACATTGTTGAGCACATAAGGAGAATGAGATATCGTGCCTTTTCTCTCGTTACTAAGAATCTATATTTTTCATAAAAAAATTTAAATTTTAAAGAAATTTAAATAAAAAATAATACTTAATAGAAGAATTTAAAATCAGAAGATAATACCTAATAAAAAATATTCCAATCCCACTAATAGAGATCTTCATGTTGTTCATTTAAATTAATATTTTATTTATAATTTATAAACCATATTTATAATTCATAAAATTTCTTAAATACTTTTTAATATTCCATTAAAAAAATCAATCATTGGAAAAATATATTATTTAAGAACCTTTTCTTTTTTGCAAATAAGATAAATTCTTTGAAAAGGATGAGAAGACAAACCTTTTATAAGTGTATCCTATAGGAAAAATTAATTTTCTAAAAGGAAGTTCATTCTTTTAAATTTTTTTATGGGAATTAAACTTATAAAAAACTTATTTCCAACCTTTTGGAAATAATATTTTCCCAAAGGGAAACATACTTGAATTGTTAAATTTACCCATATCAAAGGTTTAAACTTAACTTACAGACAATTGTTATCCATTATTAGACAGTGTAGATTATATATGTATTAAACATCCTAAAGTTCAATGTGTGCAAGATCCATCCAATGGAAACATAAAAAAATCATACAAATTCATACAAAAATTGGATCACATAAACCGTTGTACCAGATAAAAGGCTACATAGGTGCTGGGTTCCAAATTGATTGCCACATCTATTACCATCAACACAGCTTACACAGTTTTTAACAAAATGCCACACAACGATATCATTTCCTGAAATTGGTTACTTGCTGTGCATGTTCAGGATTTAGATTTTTTAAGTAGTTTCGAGAATCTTGGAAGCTTTTCTGTTTAATGCTGGAGTTCCATCAATGGGCATATTCTTGAAGCTGAGAGCATCTGTTTGGGCGTTCATAAGTGTCCATAACATTCAATGCTAACACAACATTGTTTCCTTGCTCTTGGCATAATCTTTCACGCAATGACCTTTTCCCTTGTAACTCATTACTCTCGAGTTTGGCAACAGCCAGACACGAGGGACCTGGTATCTTACAATGCGAGCTATTGGGATATTCTCTACGATGCCAGAAAATGACCATTATCTCGTATGCCGCGACCAGAGCATTCTTTCTCCGGCATCTTGTGGAAAATCTCCTCCGCCTTTGTGGCATCACCATGCGAACACCGTATTCCAGGCGATGGAGTCCTCTCGGGCGAGCTCCTCCGCATCCTCGATTTGCCTTCTCTCGGCAAGTGCACCCTCCATAGCTTTCCACGACCAAGGTATACACGGCTTGCGCGCTGCCGAGATTCCCATGCGGAGCGTAGGCGCGCACCATCAGTACCCGCGAACTTTGGGGGCGGCCGTGGCGGAGCTCCTGGAATGCGTCGTGGAGCTCCTGGCCCTGGAGAGATCGTCGCAGCTCTGGATCAAGCCCACGCATTGACCTCACGTGCTCTAATCATGACAAAGAATTATATACTATGTCCTTGGGATTTGTAGAATCCTTGATAGAAGTATGTGTTGTCGGGAGAAAAAAAACATAGAATTTGAAAGAAATCAGAAGAAGAAAGGAAGAACAAAATCGTCATTATTGTCATGGCATCATCTCGGGAGGGGACCTCCTTAGGGGCCTAAAATCCTGATCAGATCGGCCAGGCGGTCCGACTCTCTGGCTCTCGATCGTCTGGATGCCAATTGATAATACAATGAAAATCACAACAAGAGCATATCGCCAAACCCATTGCATCGTCTTCCTGCATTACTTTTTCTTGTATGATCAAAATATATATACAGAAGAGGCACTGAAAGTCTCGCGATCTACAAAAGTTGTGTTTCACTCTGACTTTAATACTTTTAGTCAAAATTTTCGTCTTGATCGAATGAGGTCAAACTGGAGTTCATCCAGCAGCTTCCAGGGCTCCCATTCTCAGCGATGACAAGAAGAAATCCTCTTCTTCCGCGAGGAAATTTCCCTGGGATGGAGGTACTGCTGATAGTCTCGCAAAACATGCGGATGGGCGATGGTCCCTGGCATGGATGCGGCAATGGATGAAACTGCAATGCCGCTGTGGAATCTAGTTTCCTGGACTTCAATGCTTGTTTGTCATGCACGAAACAAGAAGTTGGTAGAAGCTTGGAATCTTTTCCACTTAATGGATGCCTGAGAGGGACCTCATTTGCTGGAGCTCCATGTTTTCTGCTTATACCATCCATGGGCAAATACTTGAAGCCGAGAGCATCTGTTTCCAGATGCCCCTCACGAACTTGGTCTCGCGGACAGCTCTTCTTAGCATAAAACTAACCTGGCCGAGCATTCGTGGACTTCGATGCTCTTGGCATATTCCCAACACGGGCATATTGACTTGGCCATTGGAATCTTTCATGTGATGCCAAAATCCAACCTCTTCTCTTGTAACTCGTTCCTGTTGGCAGTTTAGTCTAGTGGCGACGTGGTGATGGCGAAACAAGTATTCGACAACATGCCCAAGTGGGACTTGGTATCTTACAATGCCCTTATTGCAGCATATGCTCAAAACGCTGATATTTCCTATTGGGATATTCTCTACCATGCCGTCACTTCGTTTACTTGTGTGCTAGCAGCATACGCGGATGCTGGGGAATCTAGAAGAAGCTGAGCGGATCTTTACTAGAATACCGGTGGGATGTTGTGGCGTGTGGTGCTATGTTGTCCGCATATGCCAGTTCGTGGCATCTGGAAGATACTAACGCTTGTTTGAGTCGATGTTGCGAAGGAATCTGGTTTCACAATTATCACAGCGTATGCCCAGTATGGACATATTGAAGAATCTAAGAGCATGTTTGAAAATATGCCAGAGAGGAATCTGCTGGCATGGAATGCCATGCTTGTAGCATATGCCCAGCTAGGATACGCTGACATGTCACGCCACCTTTTCCAGCAGATCCCTCAACGGGATGTCATATCTTGGAACTCCCTTCTCTTTGCGCATGCCAGCACAGGGAACGTTCCATGCACTGAAAAGATGCTTGCTCGCCTTCCAGAAGAGAACCTCACGTCTTGGAATGCCTGGATATTGGCATGTGCCACAACGGCTACATGGCGAAGGCCTTCGATGCGTCTAGCAGGCTCCGGCTGTGCCGTCTCCCCGACGGGACGAGCTTCGTTACAATGCTCATAGCGTGCAAGCACGAAGGCAAGGTACATGCCGGGAGATCTTTCTTCGTTTCCATGGGAATGGACTATGGCTTGCAGTTCCAGAGGCAGCACTACTGCTGTATCGTCGATCTTCTGGCGAGGGGTGGCTACTTGGAGGACGCGGAGGACCTGATCGCCAACATGCCTTTTGTGCCCGAGCCCAGGGAGTGGCTATGCCTCCTCGGATCTTGCCGCTCGCACAGAGATGTAGATCGAGGAGCACACCGTCAGCGAAGCGCTGTGGATTGAACTCGTTGGCATCTTCACCCCACACTCCTTGTCGTGAAGGATAGAGAGTATCGGCACGAGAACGCCGGTTCCCTCAAGTTTCCCAGCTTCGTGTCCTCCATGGCCGTGCGGACCAAGAACACGGCCGGTGGATACAGCCGCAGCATCTCGTTGAGCACCATTCCCACCTGGAAACGAGAACAGTGAGAATGAGAGGAGAAAAGCAAGATTTTGCTCACTATCGTCAGCTTGCTGGCTGCTTCTGAATCCGGGACGCCGGACTTGCAAACTTCCAGTACCTCTGCTTGAGCACGCTCTTGCCAAGTCGGGTTTGTGGCGAGCAGCATCATCGCCCGAGTTATCAGCTTGGCTGTGGTTTCATGGCCAGCATCGTCGCGCACGTCACCATGTCCCGACTGTCACTTGACGCCCTCCACGTGGCCGATGTCCGCGAACTCTGCCAGCATGGCATTCCACGTCACCATGTGGCCGCATCGCGCGGAATATCCGCGCGCGGTTGCGTGGTCCCCTGCCGCCACGATCACTGTCGCCGACGACACAACGGCATCCGACGGTAGAGATCCGCTGCCGCGTGGCCGTTGGTGCAACACGCTGCGATCATCGTGGTCCACGACGTGAGGTTTTTCTCTGGAATGGATTCGAACACGTGACACGCCTCTGCTAGATGCCCCGCTTGGGCATAAGCATGGAGAAGAGACACGGTGTTTTTCTGGGGTATGCTATCCAAAAACGCTTTTGCTTGATCTACTAAGTGGCCTTGTGTGTATGCTCCAATCATCGCAGTGAAAGACACAACGTCCCACTCGAGCATATCATCAAACAGTAGCTTCGCTTGATCGAAACCGCCACCCTCGGCATAAGCAGATATCATGCAGTTACGCGAGATCAAATCCCTCTCGGGCATCTCGTCAAACATCAGCCGAGCGCCACGCAAATCCCCGGACTGGGCGCGCGCGCGCATCACGGCAGTCCAAGCGATTGGGTTCCAGGAGGGCATTCGATCCAGAAGAGTTTTCGCCTTCGTGGGTGTATGCCGCGAACAGAGCATTCCAGGATGCCAGATCTCTCTCCGGCATCTCGTGGAAGATCTCCTCGGCCTTCGCGGCATGCCCTGCCCGGGCAAATGCCGCGTTCCAGGCGATGGAATCCCTCTCGGGCATTCGCAAGAAGAGCTCCTCCGCATCCTCGATTCGCCCCCTCTCGGCAAGCGCGCACCCCATGGCTGTCCACGACACAAGATTCTTGCAGGGCATCGACACAAACACGGCTTGCGTGCCATCGAGATCCCCGTGCCGAGCGTAGGCGCGCATCATCAGCACCCACGAGAAGGCATCCTTGCAGGGCATGGCGTCGAAGATTGCTCGCGCCTTGCGCCCATACATCTCGAAGATCTTGTTGGGCACGAATGTGTCAGTGGCGGCGGCCGTGGTGAGCTCCAGGAATGCAGCGTGGAGCTCCCGGGCTCTGGAGAGATCGTTGCAGCTCTGGATCAAGCCCACGCACTGAGCTCGATCGAGCATAGGATAGCAAGCGTGCTCTGATCATGACAAAGAAAACCTTCTCTCCCTGCGATTAGTAACAGAAATATATTACATCTGAAAGTAGGAAGTCGGGGTAGATAGATGATCCAAGATAATAACTTGTTGGGAAGAAGAAAATAAGAACAATTTTAGAGCCATTCATGTCACGGACTCATTTCGGGAGGGGGCTTGATTGGAGGCCTCAAACCCGGATCAGGTTCGCACTCAACCTTTTGGATGACAATAGCGAAGACAATGAAAATCACAACTTGAAGAGCGTATTGCCAAACCCATCGCATTGTGTTCTTGAAATGATTTTTTCTTGTGTGCATACTCAAAACATATATACCAAACAGCAGCTTGACTAAAAATCTCGTGTCCTACAAAGTCGTGTTTCACTTTTGACTGTTCGAACGAGGTCAAACTGGAGTTCATTTAGCAGCTTCCAGGGCTCCCTTGTGACAATAAAGGACCGGATGCTCACAATGCGATCCTACGGCAAAGAACGATTCAAAGATTCAAAGCGAATAAAATTACTGTCATGAAAATTTCGAATTAGACTCCTGGCCCTCGACCTTATGAATGACAAATGAAAATACTATGAAAATCACAACAAGAGCATATCGCCAAACGGATTCCAATGCATGATTCTTTCAAACTCTATATATACAAACAAGCACTCAACGTCACGTGATCTACAAAGTCGTGGTTCACTCTGACTTTAATACTTTTCAGTCAAAAATTTCGAATGAGGTCAAACTGGAGTTCATCCAGCAGATTCCATTGTCACGTTTTGAGAGAGCCCATTCTCACAATCAGATTAGAAATGGCTTTGATGCAGATTGTCTCTCCCGGAACATCGCCATTTGCCGGCATTGCAAGGAGGGCCGGATCCAAATGGCTAAACAGCTCTTCGATGCAATGCCAGTCCAGAACCTGGTGGCAGCAACCGCGCTCCTGGATGCATATGCCCGTGTGGGGCATTTGGACTGCGCTCGGGGAATCGTCAGTCAAATGCCTGTGATGGATTCGGTGTCATCCATTACCATCGTCACAGCGTTCGCGAGATCAGGAAATTTCAAAGCAGCGGCAATGCGTTTTGAAGAAATGCCACACAAGGATATCGTTTCCTGGAACTGTTTGCTTGCTGCGCATGCCCTGGCAGGGCATTTGAAGGACGCTCTTAAGATTTTTTACGCGATGCCGCTGTGGAATTTAGTTTCCTGGACTTCAATGCTTGTTTGTCATGCACGAAACAATAAGTTGGTCGAAGCTTGGAATCTTTTCTGCTTGATGCCTGAGAGGGACTTCATTTGCTGGAGCTCCATGCTTTCTGCTTATACCATCAATGGGCATATTCCTGAAGCCGAGAGCATCTGTTCCCAGATGCCCCTCACGAACTTGGTCTCGCAGACGGCTCTTCTTAGCATGTACGCGCAGTACGGAAAGCTGGAGAAAGCAAAGAAAACGTTTGATACTATGCCCGAGCACAACATTGTTTCGTGGACTTCGATGCTCTTGGCATATTCCCAACACGGGCATATTGACTTGGTCATTGGAATCTTTCACGTGATGCCAGAATCCAACCTTTTCTCTTGTAACTCGTTACTGTCGGCAGTTTCGTCCAGCGGCGACGTGGCAATGGCGAAACAAGTATTCGATGACATGCCCGAGTGGGACTTGGTATCTTACAATGCCCTTCTTGCGGCATATGCTCAGAACGGGCATATGATATTTGCTATTGGGATATTCTCTACCATGCCACAGAGGGATCTCGCTTCTTTTACTTGTGTGCTAGCAGCATACGCGGATGCTGGGAATCTACAAGAAGCTGAGCGGATCTTTACTAGAATGCCGATATGGGATGTTGTGGCGTGTGGTGCTATGTTGTCCGCATATGCCAGTTCGTGGCATCTGGAAGATACTAAACGCCTGTTTGAATCGATGTTGCAAAGGAATCTGGTTTCATGGACTACCATGATCACAGCGTATGCCCAGTATGGACATATTGAAGAATCTAAAAACATGTTTGATAGGATGCCGGAGAGGAATTTGGTGGCATGGAATGCCATGCTTGTAGCATATGCCCAGCTAGGGGACGCTGACATGTCACGCCACCTTTTCCAGCAGATGCCTCAACGGGATGTCATCTCTTGGAACTCCCTTCTCTTTGCGCATGCCAACACAGGGAACGTTCCATGCACTGAAAAGATGCTTGCTCGCCTTCCAGAAGAGAACCTCACGTCTTGGAATGCCTGGATATCGGCGCTGTGCCACAATGGCTACTCGACGAAGGCCTTGGATGCGTTTAGCAGGCTCCGGCTGTGCCATCTCCCCGACGGGACGAGCTTCGTTACAATGCTCATAGCGTGCAAGCACGAAGGGAAGGTACGTGCCGGGAGATCTTTCTTCGTTTCCATGGCAATGGACTATGGCTTGCAGTTCCAGAGGCAGCACTACTGCTGCATGGTCGATCTTCTGGCGAGGGGTGGCTACTTGGAGGACGCGGAGGACCTGATCGCCAACATGCCCTTTGTGCCCGAGCCCAGGGAGTGGCTATGCCTCCTCGGATCTGGCCGCTCGCACAGAGATGTAGATCGGGGAGCAAATGCCGCGAAGCATGCTTTTGCACTTGATCCAAACTGTGGAGCAAGTTACACACTGGTTGCCAACATTTTACAAGTCCCAAGCATAAAGTTACCAGTTGCGTCGTCAACTTTCTTACACTCCTCTTCGGCATGCCATGCTTCGGCGTTAGAGTAAGGCGCAGCACAGGGCTGTGCTGGTAACTTGGCGATATCTCCAAGCTAAACCTGTGGAGGATCATGGTCAGCGCAACCTTGGCCTCCATGAGAGCGAATCCTTGGCCGAGGCAAACCCGGGGCCTGTGAGAGAAGGGGAGAAAGGCAAACGGGTGCTTGGAGGCGTTGGCCACACCGTCAGCGAAGCGCTGTGGATTGAACTCGTTGGCATCTTCGCCCCACACTTCCTTGTCGTGGAGGATAGAGAGTATCGGCACGAGAACGCCGGTTCCCTCTGGAACAATCAAGTTTCCCAGCTTCGTGTCCTCCATGGCCGTGCGGACCAAGAACACGGCCGGTGGATACAGCCGCAGTGTCTCGTTGAGCACCATTCCCACCTGGAAGGAAACGAGAACAGTGAGAACGAGAGGAGAAAAGCAAGATTTTGCTCACGATCTTCAGCTTGCTGGCTGGGAAGACTTGCAAACTTCCAGTACCTCTGCTCGAGCACGCTCTTGCCAAGTCGGGTTTGTGGCGAGCAGCATCATCGCCCAAGTTATCAGCTTGGCTGTGGTTTACGTAAAGCATCGTCGCCCACGTCACCAGTCAAACAGCGACTTGGCGCCCTCCACGTGGCCGCTGTCCGCGAACGCTGCCAGCGTGGCATTCCATGTCACCAGGTGGCGCTCCGGCATTTTGTCAAACAGGTCCTCGAGGTCGCCGCCCTGCGACATCGCCGCGATCAGGGCCGTGCAGTTCACGAGGGGCATCGCGCGGGATATCCGCGTCGTGGTCGCGTGGTCCCTGCCGCCGCGATCACTGTCGCCGACGACCTCACGTCCCGCGTGGGCATCCGACGATAGAGATCCGCTGCCGCGTCAATCTGCGATCATCGTGGTCCACGACGTGAGGGTTTTCTCTGGAATGGATTCGAACACGTGACACGCCTCTGCTAGCACGGTGTTTTTCTGGGGTATACGCTTTTGCTTGATCTACTAAGTGGCCTTGTGTGTATGCTCTGATCATCGCAGTGAAAGACACAACGTCCCACTCGGGCATAGTAGCTTCGCTTGATCGAAACCGCCACCCTCGGCATAAGCAGATATCATGCAGTTACGCGAGATCAAATCCCTCTCGGGCATCTCGTCAAACATCAGCCGAGCGCCACGCAAATTCCCGGACTGGGCGCGCGCGCCCATCACGGCAGTCAAAGCGATTGGGTTCCAGGAGGGGATTCGATCCAGAAGCGCTTTCGCCTTCGTGGGTGTATGCCGCGAGCAGAGCATTCCAGGATGCCAGATCTCTCTCCGGCATCTCGTGGAAGATCTCCTCGGCCTTCGCGGCATGCCCCGCCCGGGCAAATGCCGCGACCATCGCGTTCCAGGCGATGGAATCCCTCTCGGGCATTTTCAAGAAGAGCTCCTTCGCATCCTCGATTCGCCCCCTCTCGGCAAGCGCGCACACCATGGCTGTCCACGACACAAGATTCTTGCAGGGCATCGACACAAACACGGCCTGCGCGCCATCGAGATCCCCGTGCCGCGCATCATCTGCACCCACGAGAAGGCATCCTTGCAGGGCATGGCGTCGAAGATCGCTCGCGCCTCGCGCACGCTCCCGCAGCGCCCATACATCTCGATGATCTTGTTGGGCACGAAGGTGTCAGTGGCGGCGGCCGTGGCGAGCTCCTGGAATGCGGCATGGAGCTCCCTGGCCCTGGAGAGATCGTTGCAGCTCTGGATCAAGCCCACGCACTGAGCTCGATCGAGCATAGGATAGCAAGCGTGCTCTGATCATGACAAAGAAAACCACGTCTTCCGAGGCATAGAAAGAAAGAAATCCCTTGATCCAATTCGATTCAAACAGAATATAATTGTTTAGAAGAGAATGGGAGAACACACTTTTGTCATGGCCCCGTCACCGGAGGGGTCTTCGGTGGAGGCCTATACCCCTCGACATTTTGGATAGGCAGGGTAAACCGGCTCTCCACCTTCTGGATGACAATTGAGAGTAGAATCAAAATCACAACTTGAAGAGCGTATTGCCAAACCCGTTGCATTGTTTTCGTGCATGATCTTTTCTCGTGTGCATGATCAAAACATATATACCAAACAGCAGCTTGACTAAAAGTCTCGTTTTCTACAAAATCGTGCTTCACTTTTGACTGTCATTTCCATATCGAACGAGGTCAAACTGGAGAGCTTCCCCCTTGTGTGACAATTTTCACGATGCTCACAATGCGATCCTACGGCAAAGAACGATTCAAAGAGAATAAAATGTTTAGGAGATAAAAAGAACACATAAAGTATAATTGTCATGGGCTCAGGGGTTTTATTCGAGGCCTAAATTTGAAATTAGACTCCTGGTCCTCTCCATTATGAATGACAAATGAAAATGCTGTGAAAATCACAACAAGAGCATATCGCCAAACGCATACCATTGTCTGCTTGCATTAATCTTTCTCGTATGATCAAACTCTATATATACAAACAAGCACTCAACGTCTCGTGATGTACAAAGTCGTGGTTCACTCCGACTTTAGACTTTTCAGTAAAAAATTTCGTCTTGATCGAATGAGGTCAAACTGGAGTTCATCCAGCAGCTTCCATTCTCACGTTTTGAAAGAGCCCATTCTCACAATCAGATTAGAAATGGCTCTGATGGAGATTGTCTCTCCCGGAACATCGCCATTTGCCGGCATTGCAAGGAGGGCCGGATCCAAATGGCTAAACAGCTCTTCGATGCAATGCCAGTCCAGAACCTGGTGGCAGCAACCGCGCTCCTGGATGCATATGCCCGCGTGGGGCATTTTGACTGCGCTCGGGGCATCGTCAGTCAAATGCCTGTGATGGATTCGGTATCATCCATTACCATCGTCACAGCGTACGCGAGATCAGGCAATTTCGAAGGAGCGGCAATGGGTTTTGAAGAAACGCCACACAAGGATATTGTTTCCTGGAACTGTTTGCTTGCTGCGCATGCCCTGGCAGGGCATTTGAAGGACGCTCTTAAGATTTTTTACGCGATGCCGCTGTGGAATCTAGTTTCCTGGACTTCAATGCTTGTTTGTCATGCACGAAACAATAAGTTGGTAGAAGCTTGGAATCTTTTCTGCTTGATGCCTGAGAGGGACTTCATTTGCTGGAGCTCCATGCTTTCTGCTTATACCATCAATGGGCATATTCTTGAAGCCGAGAACATCTGTTTCCAGATGCCTCTCACGAACTTGGTCTCGCGGACGGCTCTTCTTAGCATGTACGCGCAGTACGGAAAGCTGGAGAAAGCAAAGAAAACGTTTGATACTATGCCCGAGCACAACATTGTTTCGTGGACTTCGATGCTCTCGGCATATTCCTAACACGGGCATATTGACTTGGCCATTGGAATCTTTCACGCGATGCCAGAATCCAACCTTTTCTCTTGTAACTTGTTACTGTCGGCAGTTTCTTCCAGTGGCGACGTGACGATGACAAAACAAGTATTCGACGACATGCCCGAGTGGGACTTGGTATCTTACAATGCCCTTCTTGCGGCATATGCTCAAAACGGGCATCTAATATGTGCTATTGGGATATTCTCTACCAGGGATCTCGCTTCTTTTACTTGTGTGCTTGCAGCATACGCGGATGCTGGGAATCTAGAAGAAGCTAAGCGGATCTTTACTAGAATGCTGGTATGGGATGTTGTGGCGTGTGGTGCTATGTTGTCCGCATATTCCAGTTCGTGGCATCTGGAAGATACTAAACGCCTGTTTAAATCGATGTTGCAAAGGAATCTGGTTTCATGGACTACAATGATGACAGCGTATGCCCAGTATGGGCATATTGAAGAATCTAAAAGCATGTTTGACAGTATGCCGGAGAAGAATCTGGTGGCATGGAATGCCATGCTTGTAGCATATGCCCAGCTAGGGGACGCTGACATGTCACGCCACCTTTTCCAGCAGATGCCTCAACGGGATGTCATGTCTTGGAACTCCCTTCTCTTTGCGCATGCCAACACAGGGAACGTTCCATGCACTGAAAAGATGCTTGCTCGCCTTCCAGAAGAGAACCTCACGTCTTGGGAATGCCTGGATATCGGCGCTGTGCCACAACGGCTACTCGGCAAAGGCCTTGGATGCGTTTAGCAGGCTCCGGCTATGCCATCTCCCCAATGGGACGAGCTTCGTCACAATGCTCATAGCGTGGAAACACGAAGGGAAGTTACGTGCCGGGAGATCTTTCTTCGTTTCCATGTCAATGGACTATGGCTTGCAGTTCCAGAGGCAGCACTACTGCTGCATGGTCGATCTTCTGGCGAGGGGTGGCTACTTGGAGGACGCGGAGGACCTGATCGCCAACATGCCCTTTGTGCCCGAGCCCAGGGAGTGGCTATGCCTCCTCGGATCCTGCCGCTCGCACAGAGTGGTTGCCAACATTTTACAAGTCCCAAGCATAAAGTTACCAGTTGCGTCGTCAACTTTCTTACACTCCTCTTCGGCTAAGGAGGAGAGGCATGCCATGCTTTGGCGTTAGAGTAAGGCGCAGCACAGGGCTGTGCTGGTAACTTGGCGATATCTCGAAGCTAAACCTGTGGAGGATCATGGTCAGCGCAACCTTGGCCTCCATGAGAGCGAATCCTTGGCCGAGGCAAACCCGGGGCCCGTGAGAGAAGGGGAGAAAGGCAAACGGGTGCTTGGAGGCGTTGGCCACACCGTCAGCGAAGCGCTGTGGATTGAACTCGTTGGCATCTTCGCCCCACACTTCCTTGTCGTGGAGGATAGAGAGTATCGGCACGAGAACGCCGGTTCCCTCTGGAACAATCAAGTTTCCCAGCTTCGTGTCCTCCATGGCCGTGCGGACCAAGAACACGGCCGGTGGATACAGCCGCAGCGTCTCGTTGAGCACCATTCCCACCTGGAAGAGAACGAGAACAATGAGAAACGAGAGGAGGAAATCTAGATCTTGCTCACGATCTTTAGCTTGCTGGCTGCTTCTGAATCCGGGACGCCAGACTTACAAACCTCCAGCACCTCAGCTCGAGCACGCTCTTGCCAAGTCGGGTTTGTGGCGAGCAGCATCATCGCCCAGGTTATCAGCTTGGCTGTGGTTTCATGGCCAGCGACGTAAAAGGTCTTGCATTCCTCTATCAGGCTCTCGCTCGTGAATGCCAGCGCTGGCTTGATCCCGCTGCCGCTGAAGCTGCGGCTCGAGTCCACTTCGTCGAGCATCAAACCGAGAAGATCGCTGCCATAGTTGCTGCTAGCACCCGAGTCTTTGAGCTGCTGTCGCGCATGGACGATCTCGAGCAGCAGATTGTTCACCTTTTTCTGTCCGTTTCTTATGGCTCGGTTAAGCTCGCTGAAAGGATTCATGCTGCATACAAACCTCCCAGCGATCAAATGGGAACAAAACCATGAACGGGAATACCTCTCAATCCATGGCTTGGAGAATCTCTGTAGGATAATCGCGGTCAGCTCTTGAACGAGCTCCAGAACGCGACGGCCCTGCGCATGGCCGCTTCCAAATGCTGTCCGAGATATCACGTCCGCAGTCAGCTCAGTGATGGGCTCGCTTACCTCCACTTCTACACCACTGCTATCTCGCGTTAGAGCAAGCCATTTGTCCAGCATCTCGGATACGCAGTCTACCATAGTCCCGACCATTCCCTGCGAAGAAAGAAGAAGAGGCGAAGGTCGAGAGAAGCTCGAGAAGAGAGAGGTTTGGCCACCACCTTTATCTTCTCCTGGTAGAAGGCGGGCGACATGATATGGCGGCGAAAGGCCCACTCGTCTCCATTCACAACGACGAGGCCTCTGCCAATGACTTGCATGAGGAACTTCTGCTGGATGGAGGAGCGCCAAAACACCCCGGATTTGTTGTAGAGCACGTCCTTGACCATGTCCAGGTCGGTGAGAACGATGCGAGGCTCGTAACCCCACCACATCATCATCGGAGACCCTGGTGATGATCGAAAGACAAACAATCAAAGATCAACAGAGAAACACTTCCAAGACAAACAAAGAGCTAGCGAATTTTCGAAAGAAAGAAACTCTGGTGATGATCGAAAAAAAAAAACAATCAAAAAGTGCCAGAGACACAGAAGAGGAAATCCTCCAAGAGCAACAAAACAAACAAGTAGCGAATTTTGTCGAGAAAGAAAGAAGAGCAAAGGAACATACCATAGATTTTTTCCCAGTGTAGCGAGTGAGGCTGGGCGTAGCCAACGATGTCGTGAGAGATGCCCTCCATGCAGCGCTCCTCGGCGGCGGCCCGCATTTCCATCATCTCGCGGATGTTCCCGCGGAGGATGGACCGCGGAGGCCCTCCAATCCCCTGGCGGCGCAGCTTGGCCTCTAGAATCCATGGCTTCGCTACATAGTCTCTCACAAACCCAACCCAAGCGCCCCACGCAAGCAGCGGGAGGAGCAGCAGCGCCGCGATGAGCAGCAGCGCCATGGCATCAAATGGAGGAAACCCCCATGAAGAAGCAGCAAAAAAGATTGGATCGATCAACGCGCGCTCTGGATCTAGGTAGTCAACCCGCAAAACGCCACAAAGGAGGCAAGAAATGGGGGCCCAAAACACATGACCCACGTACGTATCGCGGCAGCCGTAGCGCATGTAGATTTTGCTGGCGAGTCACGAGCTTTGGACTCCCCAATCTGTCAAAGCTGGTAGGATCTTTGGAGAGAGGAGAGATTAGATGACCAAAGCTCTGGAGAACGAGGGCGATGATCCTCATTGTTGATACTGTGCTACAAATATGTGAAGCGAGACTTACTAAGACTTTGCTGAAACTCTCGAAGCTTAGGAAGAGTTATGGTATAGATGGTGATGAAGGATCATATTTTCTCCATGACGAGAGGAAGACCGTGGCAAGGTCTGAGCGTAACTTTGAACACCGGGCAGTGGCGATACGATGGCGACAACCGAAACCGGAAGCGCTGGAGAATGGTGGCCAAGGCGATCTTGGCTTCCATGAGTGAAAAGGACTGGCCGACGCACACCCGGGGGCCAAGCGAAAACGGCATGAACGCGTTCGGGTGCTTGGACGCCTTGGTGACACCATCCTTGAAACGCTCCGGATTGAACTCGTGGGCGTCCTCCCCCCAGAGCTCCTTGTCGTGGTGGATGGCGAGGATTGGAAAGGAGAGCCCCGCTCCCTTTGGGACGAGGATAACTCCCAGTATGGTGTCCTCGAAGCACGATCGCATCATCGACACCACCGGTGGATACAGGCGGAGAGTTTCGTGGAGGATCATGTTGATCTAGCCATGAGAAAGAAAGCTCGTGAAACTCGAAAGTAACGTAAAACCTTTACCAGCTTGAGCTTGCTGATTGAATCGGCTTCTGGAGTGGCACCTTCGCAGACTTCCTGGGCCTCGGCGCGAGCGCGCTCCTGCCATTCCGGGTGCAAAGCAAGCAGCATTATGGACCAGGTGAGCAGAGTTGCCGTCGTCTCGTGGCCAGCAAAGTAGAAAGTCTTGCACTCCTCCATCACGGCCCGATCGTCAAAAGAAGAGTTTCCACACTCGGCAAGCATCAACCCCAGCAAGTCATGACTCTGGCCACTCTGAGCTCGCCGCTCCTTGATCAGGCCAAGCAGCAGCGAGTCGAGGTCGCTGTAGAGCTTTCTCAATCGAAAGTTTGCTGGAAACGGAAGGAATCTGCGGTCAGAAAATCGTGTTATAGTACGTAAACGAAAGAGATTTGATCACCTTTTGCCTGGTACATAGTTGTATCGATCGACCTTGGAAAGCTCCTCTGGGATTGCTCTCAAGGTTTCGAAGACCTTCTGGCCTTTGAGATAGCTGCTTCCGAATGCCGTGTGGGAGATAATGTCTGCGGTTAGCTTTGAGAATTCACTGCTCATTTCAATCTCGGGCTGCTCGCGGAGCGCTTCTTCCCACCTGTCTAGCATCTCGAGCGCGCACAGTCCGATACGGGGCACCATTTTCTGGTTTGTATGACCAAGTAGTGAAAGTTGATAAGAAGCAAAGAAAGAAAAAATGGAACCTTGAGCTTCTCTAGGTAGAAAGCTGGAGCCACAACACGTCGATGGTGGCTCCACTCGTTACCATTCACGGCAATGAGCCCTCTGCCGATTATGGATGCGACTGCAGAAACCATCATGTCCGATTTCTCAAACTGAGTAACTTTCTTGGCAAGAACTTCTCTGATGAGCTCGGGCTCCGTGACCATGATCCTCGGCTCTGTCGCCCACCAGTAGAAATACATCTTTCCTGGGAAGAAATCCTCCAGAGTCTAACTCAACTTACGATAGAAACGAAAAGAGAGACTAACCGTATTCCTTGGACCACTGGTGGTAATCCAGCAACACATGCTCCACAATATCGTGATTCAAGCCTGCCATGTCCCGCTCCTTGGGAGTGTCTCTCATCTTCATCACCTGGAGCATATTCCCGGCCAAGAAAGTCCTTGGCGGCCCCTGGATACCCTGGCTTCGAATCCTTGTGTCGAGCGATCTTGGCTCCAGCCAATACCTGGTGACAATTGATCGCCATAGCTTCGCAACCAGTGCTAGCAACACGAGCAGCGCGCCCGTCCACACTGCCTTGCCAATGCCCTCCATTTCTCACAACAAACAAGTGACCCAATGTCAAAATTATCGAAGTTCCCGACGAGCAGGTCTCCACGTTCGAGAACGTGAGCACGACTAAACTTTGCTGCGGAGTAGCTTTCACTGATTGGGACGATTTGACGACTGCATTTTTAAATGCTATACAGGATTCTGTCAACGAGTGAGTGACGAGCTCAGTATGATTACCTTGCTGCCAATGAGTGAGTGACAAGCTCAGTATGATTACCTTGCTGCCAGGAGAAATTATTTGCAATGAGATTTTGGTGACTCCTCTCAAAGAAGGATCCAAAACCTGTAGAAGATGATCAAGCTCAATATTTTTGGCAAGGTTTACCAAAGAGTGCATCCTTCTATGTGTGATGCATACTTGCATTCGAACGGGTACGATTAATAAAAAATGCTGTTTAAAACATGTGAGTGAATTTCCATGTTAGGATGGCAAATCAGAGTCGGGTGAAGCCATTGGGAGTTCTTACAGGTGTGAAGATGGATGTAGTAGGGTTGAACTTTTACATGGATTTTGTGGTTTTTAGGATGAGTCTT